TTTCTATTTTTAGTAGAGACGGGGTCTCACTCTTGCTCAGGCTGGTCTCGTACTCCTGGGCTCAAACAATCCGCCCGCTTCGGCCTCCCAGAGTGCTAGGATTACAGGCATGAGCCACTGCGCCTGGCCCCCAAGGTTATTTTAAAGTCCAAGAATCCTGCTGGAGCTCTAGCTACCACATCCATGTTCCAGCAGGAAGAAGGAGAAGATGAGCCTATCCACTTCCCTTTAAGCCTTCAAGTTTAAGGAAACTTCCCAGAAGCATCACTCAACACTTCTAATTCCATGTCAATGGCCAGAACTTAGTCATATGGCCCCATGTATCTGGAAGGAAAGCTAAGCACATTGCCAACCTGAATAAACCCTCGGATTCTGTTACAAAGAAAAAAAGGGAGAACAGATACTCGGTGATGGAATTAGCAGTCTGTCCTATACATATATAAGGTGGGAAAAATAAGCTTTTTTTTTTTTTTTTTTTTTTTTAATATGAAGGGGTGGGGGATTGTGAGGAGGGGTGCTCAGTTTTCTTGTGTTTTTGTTATTCTTGTTGAGACAAAGTCTCACTCTGTCGCCCTGGGTAGAGTGCAGTGGCATCATTATAGCTCACTGCAACCTTCAACTACTGAGCTCTAAGAGATCTTTCTGCCTCAGCCTCCCAAGTAGCTGGGACTACAGGTGCCTGCCACAATGCCTGGCTGATTTTTTTTATATATATATATTTGGTAGAGATGGGGTCTCACTCATGCTCAGGCTAGTCTTGAAGTCCTGAGCTCAAGCAATCCTCCCAAGTCAGCCTCCCAGAATGCTAGGATTACAGACGTGAGCCACCATGCCCAGCCAGAAAAATAAGCTTTTTACTAAAAACTCATATGAAAATTGGGAAGATATATGTGTTTATGATTTTAAAATGATTTTTGTCAAGATAAGTTGTTTTCCAACTAAATAGCTAAAAGTTGCAGAACTTTTGAAGAAGAAAATATTCCTCATCCTAGAACATCAGTTCTCTAATCTGTTAAAAGTTACATCTCCATCAATTGTGAGATATAATTAATGAGATGTGTTTTAATATTACTAAGTTAAACTGTATGAAATTGCTGATTTTTATAATCAGAAACAATCAAATACTGGTAATTTCATACAGCTCAATGTATAACAAAGTATAAAAGTTTGTGAATTTGCTTAAAAAATACAAATTATCAGGCCGGGCGTGGTGGCTCATGCCTGTAATCCTAGCACTCTGGGAGGCCGAGGCGGGCGGATCACTTGAGCTCAGGAGTTCGAGACCAGCCTGAGCAAGAGCAAGACCCCGTCTCTACTAAAAAAAATAGAAAGAAATTAGC